ACCTGGAATCAGACGGAGGAAGGCATAACGTGCAGGCTGGAGCTTCAAGGGGTCAGTGTGAGACCTCCCACCCCCTGCTCTGGAATCAGATGGAGGAAGGCACGCATGCAGGCTGAGCTGGAGGTCAGTGTGAGACCTCCCATCCCCTGCTCTGGAATCAGATGGAGGAAGGCACGCATGCAGGCTGAGCTGGAGGTCAGTGTGAGACCTCCCATCCCCTACTCTGGAATCAGACGGAGGAAGCGCATGCGTGTGCAGGCTGAGCTCAAGGTCAGTGGTGAGACTCCCACCCCCTGCTCTGAATCAGATGGAGGAAGGCACGGCTGCAGGCTGAGCTCATGGTCAGTGTGAGACCTCCCATCCCTATTCTGGAATCAGATGGAGGAAGGCACGCATACAGGCTGAGCTCAAGGTCAGTGTGAGACCTCCCATCCCTATTCTGAATCAGATAGAGGAAGGCATACGCGCAGGCTGAGCTCAAGGGTCAGTGTGAGACCTCCCCATCCCCTGCTCTGGAATCAGATGGAGGAAGGCATGTGTGCAGGCTGAGCTCAAGGTCAGTGTGAGACCTCCCATCCCCTATTCTGGAATCAGATGGAGGAAGGTATGCATGCAGGCTGAGCTGGAGAGATGAGCTGGGTGGCAGAACAGTCCTCCCATGACCCTAGACCTTAAGTGCTCCCACATGCCTCGTGCATGTATCAAACCAAGAAAGCAGGCTAGGAGGGTAACACAGCTAAGTGTATACAGGGAGCTACAAAATACTTGAGCTGAGCAAATGACACACAAGGAGACAGAAGCAGTATGACCTTTACACAGTGACCTGGCTGAAATCATTTCAGGCTCTCATTAATCAGGCGAGCTCTGCTTTCTCTCTGAGGTAGGTAAACTTGAGGGGTAAAGTGGGAGTTGGGGAAAACAGAAAAGAAAGCCTGGTGGTGTTTCTTCTAACTCTGTTATAAATAAAAAGTAACACACAAATGCCCTGTCTCAGGGCCCAAATATTAGGTGAAAGAAATGTTTGTCATCTCAGTCACATGACATGGACTGTAGCAGAGCAGTACACACATGGTCATTATTCCTTTCCCTCTGCATGTTGTGTGCTTTCTCAGTTTTATAACGTACCTGATCCACTTGTCTCATCATACTAGCTGCAAACAAGGCCACTGAATGTCACACCAGGTGGCCAGCATGTCTGTGAAGGGCGGAAACTGGGGCAAACAGCTGGCAGAGGCCTGCTAGAAAGTCCCCGATGCCCACTCCATGGAGGACTCCACACTTAAAAGACAAGATAAGCACGTGTCAGGCTGCCTCACTAGTTATCCCCCAAAATAAAAAAATAAAAGTAACCCCTCCAGGGAATGTGTACATACACACAAAAGTATGTGCACACAGCTACATGCAAAGGGGAAAGGCTGGGAAGGAACCAAATCCACCTCTGAACACCAGTTACTTGTGGGGAAGGGGAAGGTGAAGCTGCCTGTCAGCATTACTCACCTTTTCAACTGATGAACTTACATCAATTTTGGCAATTTCTCATAAAAAGGCAATTTTCACTCCTTGGGTGATCACCCAGGTCCTGCAAAACTGAGCCACCAATAACCACCTGCACCACTTCCCATGAGGCCAAATAATGGCTTCCCTCAAGTAAGCCTCCCAAAGCTCAGCCATCACACCTCCCAGTCTGTCCCGCTTTGGGGCTACTGGCCGCCTGGGGTACAGAGGTTGAAACAAACCCAACCCCACAGATGGCTGGTAGAACCAGCATGCTATCAGGAGCCTTCCCCCGACCTGGGCCATGTGCCCACTGCATATATGCCTGTGCTCGCTCCCTAGGACAGAGACTCCCTTTTCTTCAGTTGGAAGACGGGGGATGGGGAGGATTTGATGGTGTCCTGCACAGGTTGGTTTCTTCAGTTGGAACGAGGGATGGGGAGATTGATGAGTGTCCTCTGCAGGTTTGGTTTCTTCGGCTGGGCTGAGGGGATGGGGAGATTTGATAGTGTCCTGTACAGGTTGGTTTTCTTACGGCTGGAGCAGAGGATGGGGAGATTTGATGGTGTCCTGTGGGTTGGTTTACCGGTTGGAATGAAGGATGGGGAGATTTGATGGTGTCCTATTACAGGTTGGATCTTTAATCTGATGAAGTGCTCTTGGAGAAGCTTGCCTGGTTTGGGGCTTTCTCAGCACGTGGTGTGTGCTGCCCCTTCAGGCTTAGAAGTCAGAAGGGAAAGTGCTTCTGTGACCCCCATTTACTGGTGAACAGAGGTCAGGTGGTTTGCAGCCCCGGCCGAGGCAGCTGCTAAGTGGCCAACAGGCTGGATCTAAATATTGCGGCCTGCCTGGCTGCTGGGAGCTGCCCTGAGACTCCCTCCACCTCCTCTTCCTCCACAGCTTTCCCAGCTTCTATCCACAGCTGTGCTCAGGTGGGAACACCTGCAATAGAGTGCACCAGGGTGCAACTACTCGACCCAGCATGCTGAAGGGAGCTGACTCTACAGCTGTTTCCATATCCAAGCCCAAGCTCATCTATAGCTTCAGTAGTCACAACCTCCCTGAATTCCCTGCAAGACCAGACTGAGCCCTACAACCCCCACTACACTGGTTAGCTGCCAGTCCCAGCCCCTGCTGCCTCCTGAGCCGCTGTCTGTACAGTTCTGAAGTCCTTCAAGAATGTTGAGATCCTGGCCGGGCGCGGTGCTCAAGCCTGTAATCCCAGCACTTTGGGAGGCCGAGACGGGCGGATCACAAGGTCAGGAGATCGAGACCATCCCTGGCCAGCACGGTGAAACCCTGTCTCCTATAAAAAAAAATACAAAAAAATAGCCGGGGCGAGGTGGCGGGCGCCTGTAGTCCCAGCTACTCAGGAGGCTGAGGCAGGAGAATGGTGTAAACCTGGGAGGCGGAGCTTGCAGTGAGCTGAGATCAGCCGCTGCCTCCCAGCCTGGCGACAGAGCGAGACTCCGTCTCAAAAAAAAAAAAAAAAAAAAAAAAAAGAATGTTTGAGATCCTAAGCCGACTCTCACCCAAAGGAGTGAACAACCAGGGGGCCACTCCAGGAGAGAACATGCCAACCAGGTTCTGCTGCCTGTAGGCTTGATGTCCTTCCCCACCACAACACACCGCTTGCCAGGCTGGAAGAGGCTCCAGAAACTTGGGAAACTGGGCCTATGGCTGGCATATGGAAAAGAGGCCTGGAAAGTGCTCCTCTGTCATAAGGCCCCAGATGGAACAGAGTAATTGGGAAATACATACTGGGCACCCAGGCTGACTCACTCCAGACCAGGTGGGAACTGCAGCAGTGACTTGCCCCTCTGCCCTCTGGCTGTACCACTACAGGAGGAGGAACATCTAGCCCCAAGCATGGTGGAGACATAGGTGAAATAGGTTCCAGTGGTTGCTGCAACTGAACCTTCCCAACCAGGTCCATGCATTCATCTCAGATGGGTGCACACCTGGGTTGAGCAGAACACCCTCAGAGTGAGGCACTGAGCAGGGCTGTCTGAGGCCCTTTCCTGCTCAAGGACAGGTTGGGGGGAGTATGGGGGACATCTGCCCCCTCCCAGCTGCTTCCAGGAGCCACTTCTTTCAAGATGGGGTACTCTCCTGCCTGCCTGTTCCCGTTTGGCTGCAATAGACCATTTGCCAACATTCAGAGAAATAAGGGGCCTCACCTGTTTCCCGAGCACGTGAAGGCAGGTGGGTATGCCCAGAGAGGACCTGGGAGTAGAACTATACATCGGCCCACCCAGGCTATGCTGGCTTCATCTTATCTGTGTGATGGGGGTGGGGGGTGGGAATTACCAAGAGACCATCACACAAGCCGTGGACAAGTTCTACAAGAGCCAGGTAGAAAACCACCGTGCATGCTGCTGACAGCAGATCACACACACACATCTCTTATTTGACAGCTTCCCCAAAGCAGGCTTTGATCGGGCTCCCCAAGAAGCCTGGGGAGGAGACTCTGCCAGGCTAAAGGGCCTATTCCCAAAGGTGCCACTGTCACCAGTCTCATCCTGACAATCTTGGTTATTTTGCCCTGAAGTTTTAGGTGGGGGACAGGGGAGACAGCAGACAGTACACATTAGCCACCAGAGGCATCAGCCCTCAGACTGGGCAGGTCAGACCTCCCACTCAGGCGTTTTTCTCACTGTGGCTGCCAGTTGGGGAAGCAGCATTGTGAGCACCTGCCATTCTCCCAGTCCTGTTCAGAAACCCCATCTGTGCCTCTGGAGAGACTGCCCCGAGCACACAGGCCCAGCAACTGCCATCTACTGGCCCCAGGACCTAATCCCCTTCTACATGGGGTCAGTGCATGTGGTATACACTGAGCAGTTTCTGCCCACTAGTCCTACCAGATATCCCGCCCCACCCACCTCAAGAGAATGAGGCCACACAAACACACCCAGGCCGTGTGGTGATGGGTAAACTGGGGTCCTACTTGCCCACCCTTCATTTGCTGGTTCAGAGCCAGCTGCCTGACCGCATTCCTACCCTGAGATGGGACTTTGGGGACATTGCCCACCAGGGTCACTGACCACTTGCAAGTTCAAGAAACAGGGCAAGCTGGTCCCTAGAGAAGTCTGGAACATGGGATCATCAAGGCTTGCCTTCAGAACAGGTTTTCCACCACGTAGCCGCCCAAGGCCAGAGCCCCAGGTTCATGAAGCCTGCCTGCCATGTCCACAGCCCATACCCACCTCCTGGAGCCACTGGAATGCTTGTTGCTGGGCACTCGACAAACCCAGACAGCTTCAGCCTTGCAGGACAACCGTGCACACCTGGCAGCCGTAGCTGGAGGGCCACATGAATAGAGAAGTTGGAGGTGAAGCGGATGCTATGAGAATACTTTATTGGGCAAAATCGTATACTATAAAAATGCTTTAAAATGCAGCAGGAGGAGAGGTGAAGACACGAACAAGTGCGTAGTGACACATGGCAGTCAGGGCACAGTAAAAGAATCCACTGCTGCTTCCCCCTTTACCTAGAAAAGGAAAGTTCTAGGCCTCCTCCTCCTCCTCCTCAGCATATTCCTCAAACTCCTCCTCCTCAGCTCAACAGCATCCTGATGCCAATGATACTCAGAAACCCAGGTCATTCATGTGTTGCTCTCCGCCTCAGTGAATTCCATCTCATCCATCCCTCGCCGAGGTATACCAATGGAGAGGCCTTGCGCGAGAACATTGCTCAGCTGCTCTGAGACACGCAGAAGGAAGAGCTCCTGGATGGCCGTGTTGTTCCCAATGAAGGTGGCTGACATTTTTAGCCCCCGGGGCGGGATGTCTGTGACTGTTTGACGTTGTGGGGGAGCCAGTCAATGACGAAGTAGCTGCTGTTCTTATTTTGAATGTTGAACATTTGTTCATCCACCTCCCTCATGGGCATGCGACCCCTGAAAAATGGCAGCGCCGTTGGGTAGCGGCCATGGCGGGAGTCTGCAGCCCCGACCATCATATTCCTGGCGTCAGAGCATCTGCTGTGTAAACAGCCGTCAGGGCCCGGTACTGCCTGGCTGCGGCTAGTCAGGGGGCAAAGCCGGGCATGAAGAAGTGCAGCCGGGAAGCGGGACCATGTTCACGGCCAGCTTCATAAGGTCAGCATTTCCAGCTGGCGCAGGAGCGCAAGCAACGTGGTGGCCCCGCTCATGGTAGCAGACACCAGGTGGATTCAGGTCACCGTAGGTGAGGCGTGGGCAGTTTCAGGGTCCTGGAACAGATGTCGTATAGCGGCCGTTGTCTATACAGAAGGTCTCGTCTGCATTTTCCTGTGAGCTGGTGGACGGAGAGGGTAGGCGTTAGCAAGGCTCCACCACCGTGTCTGACACCTTGGGCGAGGGCAGGATGCTGAATGTGTTTATGATCCTGTCTGGGTACTCCTCCCGGATCTTACTGAGCAGAAGGGTACCCATCCCAGACCCCGTCCCCCCACCCAGGGAGTGGAGTCGGCTGGAAACCCTGCAGGCAGTCGCTCTCAGCCTCCTTTCTGACAACGTCCATCACTGACTCCATCAGCTCCGCGCCTTCCGTGTAGTGCCCCCTGGCCCAGTTGTTTTCCATTACTCTGACCTGTAAGACAGTACAGCCAGTCACTCGATGGCCAGGTATATGGTCATTAGTGGTCACCATAATGCAAAAAGGGCCAAGTGTCATGAGGTGGCGCACACGTTCTCCCTACAGGTGGAGCAAATGAAACCCCCTCCCCCAGAGTTACAGGACAGCCTCCCTGTTAGAGGTGGGAGGTCAGAGTCAAGCCTGAGATGGCTGACAGACCTCCCTGCAGGTGGCTCCTGCCCATTTTCTGGGAAGGCAGTGGCTGCGGTCCCAGCTCAGCTCCTGCAGGGAGTTGACATCAGTAGCTCTTGCCTTGAGGAGACACCTGGGCCCTTCCTCCCAGGAGCCCCTTTGGAGGCAGATGGAGCGACTGGGAGGATGGGGAGGGTGTTCAGGGCCCTGGATCCACGGTTCCCGGCCATGACCTTGGGGCACTCCTAGATTTTGAGTGGCCCTGGCTAAGAAGCCGCACCCCAGTCCTCCCCCCACCACAGCTCACAAGAAGATGAAGTTGTCCGGCCTGAAGATCTGCCCGAAGGGCTCCGGCGCTGGAGTCCGGGTGCCCGGCTCCAGATCCACCAGCACAGCGCGAGGCACGCTGCCACCTGAGAGGCGGGAGGCATAGCGAGGGAGAGGCCGCGTTCCCAGGAGGGCGGCGGGAAGGTCGAGGTCTCACCGCAGGCCTCGTTGTAATGCACATCGATGCGCTCCAGCTGCAGGCGGCTGTCCCGTGGTAGGTGCCAGCGGAGTCGATGGCGTGTTCGTCTGAGATCACCTCCCAGAACTGCGAGGCGGGAGGGCCGGACAGGCCAGGGCCAGTCAGGGGAGGCGCCCCAGCTCCTCTCCCACCCCCACCCTCATCCGCACCCCCATCCCTGAGCCGCCGTGTCCCTGGGTCACCCGGCCGCCTCGCCAACCGCCCAGTCCACACGCGCGTCCCCGGCAGACCGCCCCCACCCCGCCACGCCAACACCTTCCCGGCCACCCGCCCAGGCCGGAGCTGGGCCCTCAGAGCCCCGCTGCCAACCTTGGCGCCGATCCTGGGATCCCGCACTGCGGCCTGCGTGAGCACGATCTCCCGCATGGCTAAGGCGGGATCAAGTGACAGGAGAGACGAGGAGGAGGAGTAGACGCGCAGTGACCCAGCCCGCCCTCTGCCAACTGAAATAGCCCGGCCCACCTCCCCAGCCTTGCATCGGGCTCCCAGAATAAGCAACAGCTTTACTTGCACACAGGTGTACCCACCTGTGCATCCCTTCTAGCGTTGAGCTCTGTTGGGGAGCTCAGGTGTCCCTGCTGTGGTCCCTTCCACCGTGGGGGAAAGTTGGTCAGCTGGAAACTTTCCTCCCCGTCTTTACTAAGACTCAATTTCTAAAGCTGACCCAGAAACTGAATTTCCTCCCGTGTGGGGAGGAGGACTCAGTTTCAACACTCACAGAATGCTGCTTACACCTGCCTAGATTGAGGACATATTTTTGTAATTGATGAGTCCTGTCCTCTATTAGGAGACCTGTAGTTAGAAAGGCCTTCGTATGTTAACTCAACAAGACTTCGTTATAAGTTTGACTTTGGAGCAGTTCAAACCTGCAGTAAGCTATGGAGTATTAGACATAGTAGACTCTGATTAGCTAAGAGTCTTCTTTAGAGTAGGATCAGCCCTTTCACCTTTCCAGAGGACCACGGTCTCCATGCAGGATGAAGGTCATGTTGGATTCCTAAAGCTGAGGATAGGTGTGAGGATATGCCTGCTGTGAAAGATGGGCCATTGTCACTTTGCAGGCTTTTAGATGACCCAAACTGAGGAGTTATTTCTTCTGGCAAACATTTTTCAGATGGGGTGGGGAATGCCTCGATCTAACCAATTGAAGGTATCAGTGAGCATTAGCAAATATTTGACTCTCCTGTAGAAAGACAGCTGAGTAAATTAGAGTTGCCAGTTCTCACCTGGATAGGTTCCTCAATTTTGGACAGGGTTAACTGGAGAAGGAGAAGGTGCTGGCTGTTTGAGTCATATCAGGCTACAAAGCTCTCAGTGCTGAGTCACCTGTTTTAGTGTCTTGAAAAGATTTACCCCTATAAATAAACAATTATTAACAGAAAACAAAGAATCCATACAAATTAGAAAAGAATCAGAAAGTGCTGAATTATATTTCTATGAACAGTACTTGGCATTGTAATTATTACCATCATTCAGCCAGCCAGAGGCCCTGGACTGAAATGCAATCCTAGCCCATTTTGTTCTTCTTCAGAGTATTCTGGCCTGATTCTATGCATGCTGACCAGCACCGCCCATAAGCTTCATTGGCCCTCTCAGTGCAGGGCCTTGGAAAACAGCTGGCATCCTACAAGGAGGCATTTCTTTTACATGGTCAGTCTTCTCTCTTTTGATGTCCTCTGCAATTAATTATAGTCATTTTGGCAGCAAGCAGCATTCTAACAAACTCAAATCTGAATGCTGTTGTATGGAAAAAGCCCTTGGGGGTCAGGAGTCCCTACCCATTCCAAACTGCAGCATAAGCATGAAGCACTAAAAAAATCATACTTGGAATCAGTGTAAATGTTAACTTTTAAATCCTTTCCCAACTGCAGGGGCCTGGTAAGTTCAATTAACTCAGCTTTTTAAGGCTGAGGTAGAGGCCAACAAGGCTTGTGCCTTGGCTCTCTTGTGCTGACTAATAACAGCATATCTAGCCCTCCTGTTTTCCTGTTCCTTGACAACTTTGCATCTGTTAACCACTCTTCTTTGGGATGGTCAAGGGATTCATCTCTCTATAGTCAGCCTCCTAGAAGTAAATTTATTTTCCTGAAATCTGCTTGACATGCTTTGGCTGTGTCCCCAGTCAAATCTTATCTTAATTTGTAGCTCCATGTTCCCATATATCGTGGGAGGGACCCAGTGGGGAGGAGTAATCAAATCGGGGATGGGTCTTTCACTTGCTGTTCTTGTGACAGTGAACAAGCCTCATGAGATCGGAGGTTTATTTATTTATTTATTTTTGAGACGTAGTCTTGCTCCATTGCTCAGGCTGGAGTGCAGTAGCATGATCTCGGCTCACTGCAACCTCTGACTCCTGGGTTCAAGTGATTCTCCTGTCTCAGCCTCCTGAGTAGCTGGGATTACAGACGCCCACCACCATGCCTGTCTAATTTTTAGTATAGATGAGGTTTCACCATGTTGGCCAGGCTGGCCTCGATCTCCTCACCTCAGGTCATCCACTGCCTTGGCCTCCCAAAGTGCTGGGATTACAGCTGATGTGGTTTATAAAGGGAGTTTCGCTACACAAGCTCTTTTGCCTGCTGCCATGTAAAGTGTGACTTTTTCTCCTCATTTGCCTTCTGCCATGAGTGTGAGGCCTCCCCAACCATGTGCAGCACATGAGTCATTAAACCTCTTTCTTTAAATATAAGTGTCCAGCATAGATATGTCTTTATTAGCAGCATGGAATAGACAATCTAGCGTCTTTGCCAGGGAAGAGCTAGGAGCACCTGTGGACTCTGGCAGATAGGTAGCTGCACGTTTATGGTTGTAGGCTTTAAGTGTTATGTCTGGAGTGTCTAGCAATAAGGCCTGATACTTTCATAAATATTCTCCTATTATCCACTGGTGCCCTTTAGCTTCTAGGACCACCTTCCCTTGGTGTGGGGTCAAAAACCTGTAGGTGCTGTTCTAATGTTGGTTTATTAGCACTGCTAGAAAAGTGGTAGCAGCAATAGCTCTAAGACATCAAGGCCACCCTGAGCCACCTGGTCTATCTGCTTAGAAAATTAGGCTACTGACCTTGGAATGTCCTAGTTTTGGGACAAGATTACTGAGGCCTATGCCTTGCTTTAGCTACATAAAGGGAAAAAATGGTTCATCTAACTTGAGGACTCCCATGGCTGCAACAGAGCCCAATTTCTCCTTGAGAGTAATGAAGGTTTGCTGCAGTTCTGTTCCACATTCTAGGAGTTCTAAATCTTTCCCTTTAGTATATCATATAAAGACTTGGCACCATATCCAATCTGGATTGCCCATAATGGTACCCAGCCATCTCGCTTAAAAAACCCACAGTCATTTGTTGGGCTGGGACCCTTGGATGACTAAAATAACTTTATTTTATCTTCTAGGGATGTTGAGTCAGTTCTAGAGGTTAAGATAGATTCAAATATTTAAGTCTTTGAGTCAAAATCTGTGCCTGTGGTGATACCATGTATCACAAGTTCCCAGAAAAGTTGCCAATAACAGTATTATTATTTGAGTCTTCTTTAGTTGAGCTAGCAATGAGCAAGTCACCTACATACTAATAGTTTGTCCTTTCCAACTGTAGATTTCTTAAGTCCTTAGCTAGAGCATTTTCAAATAAGTGAGCTATCCAGAACCCTTCAGAGATGACTGTCCAGGTTAGTTTTGAGGCTGAATGTGTATCTGGATCAGTCCATTCAAAAAGAAACAAACATATTATGAATCTGGATGCAATAGATGCAAGAAAAATCCATCTTTCAGATTTAAGAATGTAAACCAGCTTGCATCCCTGGAACTTATGGTAAGTATTAGAGGACAATGGGTTGTATGGAGACAACTGCATTTATTAATGCTCTAAGGTTTCTGACAAATCTGTACTTGCCATTAGGCTTTTCATCTGGTGACATGTGAGTATTGTAAGGAGACTCTCACGGCCTTCGTAACTCATGCCATTAGGCTTTTCATCTGGTGACGTGAAATTATTGTAAAGAGACTCTCATGGCCTTAGTAACTCATGCCATTAGGCTTTTCACATCTGGTAACATCAGTGTGTAAGGAGACTCTCACGGCCTTCGTAACTCATACGGCAAGAATTTGGCAATAAGGGGTTGAATTTCCCCTCATGCTTCTTGCCTTAAAATGTATTATCTCTTCTGAGGGCGAGGAGCACTAGGCTGAAGTTGGATTTGAATGGAGGAGGTGTGTAGTGAGTTTCCCCAGAGCCTGTGTATTTAAACCTCAATATTTACTTGAGACAACACCTCAGGTGTGCAAATGTGACAACTCATTCTTAACTTCTTTTCTCCTGAGGTCAGGAACAAAAGTAACCTCTATGCTTTATGATCTGTGAAGGTGACCATGACTTGAGTCTCCTGAGTCAATAAATATCTCCCAGTAAGAGGTCAGGCATTCAGACAGTACTAAAGGCAGGTAGAAACCCAGAGGCCCTGGAGGACAACTTACAGAATATGAAAAGCAGTGTTTTAGGCTTGTCCATCATATGAGAAGACAGGAGCCCATTGTATTGAATCAGGACAGAGTCATCTGCTCCCCCATATCTAATACGAAATTAATGCTCCTACCTGCCACTTCCAAGAGTCACCTGGGGCCCCTACATCTCTTGATAGATAATAGTCAATAAGAACCGAGTGGAAGTATCAGGCCCTACCACTTGCAGGTCTGCTGAGCTCTGATGATGACTCCCTTGGAAGCACCAGTGCATTTCCTTTGGCAGTAGCCAAACCTTCTTACAGAAGGCACATTGATTTATATACTGAGGCACAGTATGGCCCAGAGAGCCTGGGACCAGGACTTTGCCTTCTCACTTCCTCTGAGGGGCCAGGAGTTAAGGGCTGCCTCTGGTCGTGGAACGCACAAGGCTGGAGGGCCAGGGGTTAAAGGGCTGCCTCTGAAGTCGTGGAGAGCACAAGGCTGCAGCTAGAAGCTGGGCCTCTTGGGAGATTTGCTTTATGTTTTCTCTGCCCTATTCCTGTGATGGAAAACTGCAAAATCCAAGTCTAAAATCTGATCCATGGGAGTCTGGAAGCCCAAGGCTGCTTTTGGCAGCTTCCTGCAGATATCAGAAGCAGACTGGACTATAAAATAAACTCCTAGCAATGCCTGTCCCTTCTTTGAGTCAGGGTCAGTGTTAGTGTATGTCCTCAAAGTCTAAATTATCCACCCTTGTAATAAGGCTAGGTTTTCATCTTTTCCCTGAGCAATTTTCTAGACTTTATAAAAATTAAAAAGCTTTATCACACTTTTTTTATTTCTTCAAGGAGTCAAATGATCATAATTTTTTCTCTCTATGTCCTACTTTCTTCCTAATTCATTTCCCTTTTCTAGATTCTAGTTCTCTTTTG